GTACACACAGTTAACTAGTGCATATCTCCATAGATAGTGACTGACATGGTGTTGTTAGTAGTGGTGCTAGAGTAGTTGTCACCATCTTGAGACGTTTCTAGTGATGTGTAACTGCAGTGATTCATTTCTTGCCCATTTCTGTGCTAGCAAAAGTGTGCAGTTACCAAAAGGAATGCAGAGTGCTGAGCCATTTCAATCTTAGACAGAAAAGTGCTTAAGTACCAGCTGAATCTGGAATGTGGGTGATCTCTTGGCTTCTGTGGTTTCATGCCTGTGGTTAAAATTAAGTGCGTAGTCCAGTTTCTGGAAGTCAACACTTAAGCATCTGCATGTGAACCCTACCAAATGTGAAGACTTTGGAAAATGGGAACCACAAAGTCATTTTGCTGACTGTCTCCCCCTGTACGAAGTAGGGAATTTAGACAAAGAAAGGCTGGGCAGTAGAGGCAAAACAGTGTTTTGGAACATCTTTTGTGATATTGGTTATTAAAGTGAGAGGTAAGTTATTCTAACCCATTTTTAAACCTTGTTTTAACACAGGCTCAACGGGACATCATCTTTGAACTCCGAAGAATCGCATTTGATGCAGAATCTGAACCTAACAATAGTAGTGGCAGTATTGAGAAGCGCAAATCTATGTACACTCGAGACTATAAAAAACTTGGATTTATTGTGAGTATTTCTGTGTGGTGGTTCAGTGAAAGTGGTGAGAGCATCCGTTGTACGTCTTATCATCAATCACTTCTCTTACTTGGTCTTCTGGCTGTTTCCTCCTGTAATGTTACGGAGTCTTTTGATTGTCTAGAGCTTAATGATGGTGACAATAGGGTTGAGTGTGCGTATGAATCACAGGGAACACCAACAAGGCAGGTAACATGGTAGGAATCTGTTACAGACCACCCAACCAGGAGGAAGAGGCAGATGGAATATTCTATAAGCAGCTGGGAGAAGTCTGAAAGAATACTGAATCCTGTGTCGGTTCTGGTCCCTCACTGCAAGAGAGACATTGAGGTGCTGGAGCGGGGCCAGAGAAGGGCACCGGAGCTGGAGCAGGGCCTGGAGCACAAGTGTGATGGGGAAGGGCTGAGGGACCTGGGGGTTTAGTGTGGAGAAGAGAAGGCTCAGGGGGGACCTGATCGCTCTCTGCAACTGCCTGAGAGGAGGATGGAGCCAGGAGGGGACTGGTCTCTGCTCCCAAGGGATGGAACAAGGGATGGGACAAGAGGAACCGGCCTCAAGCTTCCCCAGGGCAGGTTTAGCGGGAGCTGAGGAACAATTCCTTGCCCAGAGGGTGCTCAGGCATTGGAAGAGGCTGCCCAGGGCAGGGCTGGAGTCACCACCCCTGTGTAGGTGTGGTGCTTAGGGATGGGATTTAGTGGTGGTGCGGCAGTGCTGGGTTATCAGTTGGCCTTTTGTTGAATTTAAAGGTCTTTTCCAACCTAAATGATTTTGTGATTCTAATTGGAAGAAATAATTACCTGTGGTTGAAGCACATAGTTTTTCATGACATGCCATAACCCTTGATTTACTGTGTTTATATGGCTCTATGCTATTTGGAGCGCAGCTGAACCTCCCTTCAGGAGAAAGCTGCTAACCAGTTTGTAGCAGTGCACAGCAGAGGGCACTAGCATCATACCAGATGTAGGCTGTTCACAGCAGTTCACTCACTTGCATGGGTACAGTCATTTCAGCCTTAGAAACAGTAGAAAGAGCTGTTCTGCACTGGGAATGCCTATTTCTCAGTTGGATGCCAGACGATGCTTGATGCTTCAGCTAAATGATACTGCTTGGACAATAAAAATGTACTTAATTTGCCTTGCACGTTACAGTTTCTTATACAGTATACTGTAAATAGAGTTTCTTTTCTGGCTGGCACTTGCTGGTCAGGTATGTTTTCCCTCTGAAGTAACAGTTTGTCCCCGTGTTTGAGTGTTTTTCAGGCTTCCATGGGCTCTGTGACAGGGATGCTTTCTTGCAGTCTGAATTGTTTTGTGGGGTTTTGGGTTTTTTTCCAAACAATCTCTGCACATCTGTAAAAGGTGATGTTTGTAAATGTACTTAAAGAGTTCAACCAGAAAAGCTTCAGTTTGATTGCCAGCTCAGGCCATGTTAGAGTGACCAAACCCACAGTGGCCAGCAAATCCAGATGTTAAAGCTGCTGCTGTTGTTTACCATGCAGCTGCATGTGATTTATCAGAGTTGTTTGTCAGCAGCTATGGGCATCTAACAATTTGCACATTGTTCAAATGAATAAGCCCAGCCTTTTACTGTTTACTGCTGACTAACTCTTAGCTTCAGTCCTTCCAGAGGAGAACAGATTTAAAAGCCCATTTTAATGGTCTACCAACCTTCTTTGACCTTTCAATATCACTTTTAGAATGAGGTTTAAACTAACCAGAATGAGATCTCTGTGGCTGTGTGTCTGTAGGAATGAACTGGCTCTGTAATCCTTTTGCATTGATTTTTTTGCATACTTTATTTGATCATTTTGTGCTTATTATAAATATTAGTTGGAGGAATCCTCCTTTCGAAAGCAGTTTCTCAATGACAGGATAAGTTCTGTTATTTTGCAGAGGGAAGATAAAAAGGTTTTTATATTTTTATACCTTTCCAATATTTTTAATTGCGGAATTTTAAGATAAAAACTTAAGCTCCTTGTGATTTGACAAAGTACCCCTCTGGAAGAAACCCACTGACATTGTGTTCCTAGCATATGTTTTTCATATACTATGTATGATTTCACTGTGTGATTTTCTTGTTGGCTGCTTGTTTGCTTTGTGCATCCCAGTTACAAACTCGTGGGGGCAGGCAAGCTCCGTGGATTTGAGTTAATAGGGCTGAGCAGTTTGATCCAAGTGTCTCCATCGTAACAGAAGAGTTCTTGTGCTGCTAATTGTTTTCTGGTCCCTTCTCTTAGAGGTGGATCTTGGACATCTTTCTGTGGCTATTATGTATAATAATATACCCAACACTGGTCAGGCAAAATGACATCTCTCTTCTTTTGTAGTGTGGGCTTCATCTGTTTCAAGGCATGACTTGTACAGCTGATTCCACGCAGCCCCTTGCTTGATATTGAAGTAATGGTAGTTTTGTGAAAGGGTGTAAATTCAGTTTAATGTTAATTACTGCAAACAGGGTTGTTCGGGGTTTTTTTTAGCCCTGTACTGTTTTACACCATCTCATACATGCAGCCAGATATGTATGTATGTTACTTAAATGTACATGTCACTGTTCCCCCTCCTCTCATTCCTCTTGGGTTTCTTTGCCTGTTGTAAGATTTAAAGGACAGTAAATAGCATAACATGCAAAGTGTTGGTATTTCTTCCCTTACAAAGAATTGCAGACATTCTCTTGGAATATGTGATTTCATTAACTAAAGCCTGAATGAAAGAAAAGACAAGGGGAAGAAAGTGACTCATTTGTGAACACCGAATTGTTTCCCCAAGTTAAAAACACCTTCATACCTGAATTGTGAATATGTTGGTTGGTTGATGTAGTCAGCCTGTTACACAGCCCCTGTGTGAGTGGCAATGGGACGTGTTCTTAAATCGTCCTTCATTTTGGTGCAGCTCTGTCCTCTGTTTGACGTCTGTCTGGAGGAAACTGGAGGCAGAGCAGAACAATGCCCAGGCATGCAAAACATACCTGCATTTTGCAGAGCACAGTTCCAGTTGCAAGAGCTTCACATCCCTGCAGAGGGAGGCAAAGAAAAGGAGAAGTCAAATGGACTGCAGTTCCCCACTAGATGGATCCCATGGGTTTTTATCTTTTTATCACCTCTCTACTAAGGGCAGATGAGTGTATGTTACAGGATGGACACAGGCAGACTTCTGTCTTCTCTTCATTTGAACTAACCCCAGCCTGGCCCTTTCCTTTTGCACATGACAGCCAGTTTAGCTTGCTTGGAAAAGAAAAATGTGAACCCTTTCTACAGCAGTATCTAAAAGGAGAGCAAGGTCTCTCCCAGCTTTCCTTTGTGACTTTTGGCACTGGGTTTAGCTTCCTTGCAAAGCTCACCCTTACCAAAGCAACGTGGCTCATGAGGGTGCTGCGGTGTCCCCAGCCACCGCAGTCATCGTTATTAATGAGGTTCCAAGGGAAGTATAATTCACTGCACAAATGTGCCAGTCATCTGTTCTGGTGCATGTGCTATGCATACTATAGGATGTGAGTATCCAGTCCTTTCCTGGAGCTGATAGTTGTTACGGCAGGAAGGAGTTTCACTCAATTCCTTTAGGTGGTGATGTATGAGAGAGGCAACTGCAGGCATTAAGTGGGCTGCTTCCTGTGTGGGTTCGCTGTAGATACACATCCTCAGGAAAACTCTAATGATTATTTTTACCCTGGTTTTACTTGATTGCTTATAATTTAAGTAATTTGTCTTTAAAAGAAGCCACAACTGAAAGGTGTTTTAATTAATGCACCTTAATTACAGTGGCAAATGTTATGTCAGAAAGGTTAAGTTTGGATAAAACTGCTTGAAGTGTAACTAAAGCAATCAAAATGATGCTGTCCTAGCAGTCTTATGCTTAGAAGACTGATTCAAGCAGATCTTGGGTTTGAACCTTTCATTTTACTTCTTAACTGTTTTGTATCATTTTCTTTTGTACAAAATGCCTGTTAAACAGCTCTGAATTTCTCCTTGGTAAGTAATCTTTGAACCATTACTCGATGTTAGGGCTGTTAATGTTTGTACCCCAGTATACCAACAGTGCCAGGCGTTATGCTTAAATAAGGAGTGGAAGTCGCAGTGTGCCTCAATCAACACACATTAAACTTACCTGAACTCAAAAAAAGGCATTTCATGCCAAAATGTGACTTAGGAACAGCTCTGATAGGATTCATGGAAATAAATGACTCAGGTAGGTTTTGATTCTGCTGTATCTGACTTCCACCTTAGGTGCAAACACTTAATCCGTGTTTATTTGTGATATTCAGGTTTAGCTGGATTAGTTTTTTTGGCTTGCTGCTCTTGCTAGCACTTGTTGCACTGTTTGCTCATGACTGTCTTCTTGCTAGCTTGATAATTACCCTGCTGGGCAGGCTGAGAGTTTGTGCCTTAGATCTTATGTACGTAGAAAAGGCAAACTGCGTGAGCAACACTGGTCAAATGAGACCAGTTATCTCCTGACACGTTCCAAGGCCACAAAAAGGCTTATATTTTTAAGTCAGGGATACATGCTGCTTTCCTGGTGTTCAAACAATACAAAAATTGCTCACTGGCCAGGACATGGGTATTACACTTCCGTCAGGAATTTGGAAGAGCTGGAGCTATTTGGAAAGCTGTAGCCCTTGACTGCTCTCCAGCTGCCCTGGCTGGAGGGGTACCTGCCTCATACCCTCTTAGTTGAGCCTCTAAAAGTCTCATGGGTATGGAGTATTCTCTGCAGTAAAAGCCATCTGGATTAGCTCACACCTTGTCCAGCATCAGTTTTATCTAAAGTGGACTGACTCTTCATCAGGGACTGTACCGCTATGACAAGGGGTGATGGGTTCAAACTGAAACAGGGGAAGTTCACATTGGATATAAGGAAAAAGTTCTTTACTGTGAAGGTGGTGAAGTGCTGGCACAGGGTGCCCAAAGACGTGGTAAATGCTCCATCCCAGGCAGTGTTCAAGGTGAGGTTGGACAGAGCCTTGGGTGACATGGTCTAGTGTGAGGTGTTCCTACC